CATGCGCAATAGTGCAAAATGGAACTTAGTTTTTTTTATCAAGAAACCCTAATCCCAAAACCCTACAATCCCGGAGGCTAAGATGTACGAGAGGGTGCTCTAAAAACTAAACACTAAACCCCAATCCCAACCCTACGACCCCGGAGGCTAAGATGTACGAGAGGGTGCTCTAAAAACTAAACACTAAACCCCAATCCCAACCAGTGGCGGATCTGGGCCCGGGCCTAGACGGGCCATGGCCCGGGCATCAGAAGTCAGTAATGAGATTCATTAGATGCAATGTAAACAATTCCCTGCCTCAAGTTTTGATAAAGCCAACCACAAGCCACACCAGAGTACCTACAAGTGCTTCAAGAGCATTCTAAGCACTGCATAGATGAGGGAATTGTTGAAACTCATCATAAAAATGGCCAAAAGATGCATAACCATAAAACAACTAGTTGAAAAGTGGACACACCCACTTCCTGGCCCTACCATTAACTTGAACCCAGATCCGCCACTGATCCCAACCCTACGACCCCGGAGGCTAAGATGTACGAGAGAGTGTTTATTAAAAAAAAAGTAAAAAGTGATTAAAAAAAAAAAAGAAAAAAAATCAAACATTTCAGCATAGTTTTAGTCAATAGTCCCGACAGGATTCGAACCGCTGACCCCATCCGGGCAATCCAGACAGCCTCTCCACTACACCACCGCAACCCTGCTGCATCAATGTTGCTGATTGTCGTATTTATACTTGATATCTGTATATAAAATCGTGTATTAGTATACTGGGGCGAAGCCCCGGTATACTATATAGGGACTGCCGGACCAATAGCCCCGCAGTAGGCGTCCGGCTGCCGGACCAATATCCACTTCCTTCTTCAATTGCTGAGCTGCGTCCGACAACTTGTCCTCTATCTTCTCGTTGACAATAAATTGATCCTCATTTCCCTTGCTCCTAAAGTCCAACGCAGACCTGTCCACTCTGGGTTTCTTTGCAGCAATTTCAGCCACTTCGTCAAATCTTTTTGAGATCCTCCGGAATGCTTCTGTATTCTGATTATTGGATCTTTCAATGGCCTGCATCAGCTCATGTAGCCTGTCCTCTTCGAGCGCCATAATAGAGACCCAACAAAAAAGAATATATGGAATAGAAAAATGAATGTCTTTAGTCTAGATTGCCTGCACTTCTGCCACACTGTAGACTGCAGAACACGTGCATAATTGCACACTATATAACATCTAGGATAAACCACACCCATAGGTGTGCTCTATTATTACTGTGGGAGCTTATTTTCTGCCTAATTCATTATATTCAACCGTCAGAAAATATACTTCTACAGCTTCTTTCATACAGCACAAGGCAGAAAAGAAGTAAAGTTATAGCATTAGTGAGCAGAAAAGTAGCGATAGCAATAATTACAGGAGTAACAAGACAAGACTGTGTTCACTTCAGCCGCTTCACTGGTTCTCTATCCGAGGACTTTTTGCTTCCTTTGCATCCCTGGGTCCAGGAAAATGGAAGAGCAACATGAATTAGCCATGCTAATAGTTAAGGAAGCCTGCCAGAAGAGTTTATAGCGCTGTACAAATGAATGGCAAAGTAGCCATTTTGCCATACGGAAGTAATTATGACGCATTCCATGACGTCATATGAAACCGCTCTATAGAGTTATCCGTTTTGGTATTCGTTTTTTTTGTTCGGATTTGATATGCGTTTTCTTGTGTTTTAGTGTAAACGAGACCCTTATTTGGCTAAAAACATCTCCGTTTTACTTTAAAACGTAGTCGTGTAAACCAGGCCTAAATGTAATGTGTAATAACTAATAATGTATGCCTAGATTTAATTATTGGTTGTATGTCTTGTCTGTAGTAGATCCCTTCTTAATAATTTGTGTTAATGTGAAAAACTATTTCATAATTTGTGTCTTAGTATATAAATGTTTAATTCTGTTGTTGTTGGTTGATCTTTTGATTGTTAATAATCGTATCTACAAGCAAGGGCGTAGGGAGAAAAAAAGGAAGGGGTAGGCTATGAGCAGAAAAGGGCGCGCGAAGCGCGCCGCGATTTGGCCACGCCCATTTTTACGGCCGCGAAATGGGCGTGTTCTCGCAATATGGAGTTTCATTTACTCTAATATCTATGGTTCTCGCAACTGCTTCACACTCAGACTCAGATGAGGACTCAGGCAAGACTCAAGGTAGCAGCACAATCAACAAAATCATCATTCACAAGATCATCATCTTCAATCTCCTCATGCTCATCTTCAGTACAAATAGTCTATATGGCTGGGGTTGACTACTAATATACTCAACTAAAATTTGCATAAAAATTCACAAAGCTTTTGTTTCTTTGCAGCTGACATTGTGATGGCTTCACTTAAAGTTAACTTTTTATAATTTTATTAAGCTAGCTAATTAATTAAGTTAATTATCTAAAGACTCCACCTTAATAAATTATAATAATTGTGCTAAAATGGCTGTTTTTCTTTTCTTTCTCCTGTCTCTGTTTGCCTGTGTCAAAAGTGACTGAGTGAGTAACTGCCAGTTGAGACAGCTACCATAAACTTCTATAATCTTTGGTCATAAGTGACTAAGGTAGAAACTCAATATAGGTAAACTACTAAACTTCAATTCTGACTTCTGAACTTCAGGGTAGGCTATAGCCTACCCTAGCCTTATGCTAGCTACGCCCTTGTCTACAAGAGTAATATACTGCAGTTATGTTACACTGATTGTGGCGAGGGCATGTGCTATAGTGCACTCGTTACCCGAGCCACGCGTAGGCGTGAAGCGAGGGTAAAGCAGTCGTCCTGTCTGTGTGTGTGTTCACTTGACCTCCACTTTTGAGCTGACACTGCTTTCTTGTGAAATCCTGGATAGTCTTATAATCAAAACTAACTCTAGAAAAAGTTATTCTCTGTCTGGAACATGCTTGGATGGTCTTTCCCGAGGCAGAAAAAGCTCACAATGTCGCCAAATGCAGTCGGTACAAATATATCTCTTTCGTGGTGAAAGCTAAAAAGCAGCAAGACAAATGAAACGATAGAACAAAGCCTCATCTTTAATTAATATGTAAGAAATTGCTCCAATCTTCTTCCTTTTGAAGATATGATAGCCCAAACTTTCATACCTTGTGAGTTTAGACGAGGCTTTCTTCTCCCAAGATAGCGGCCATAGTCTTTAAACATCAGGGACTAGATAGCAGTTTGTATGCAACAAATAGAGCCTAATAAATGTATGCTAAACTGTTTAAAAGTCGAGAAAAACCAAAGCTTTCTTCACCACTTAGGGCCATGTGCCACCATTACTGTGTGTGCAGGTGGAGCATGGCTTAATTAAGCCACACCTTCATTGCAGCCACACCTTTACATTGCTGCAGCATGCAGCAGTGTCTGTTGACAGTTATCGGGATGAAAAAAACCCTCACTCTAAAAGGAATTAGTACAATTAAAGAGATAGATGCAAATACAGTTGATGAGACTGCTAGGCCCCCATGTCTTAAAAATAAATTATGGTTATCTATAGTTACAAGTGGGTGTGTATAGTTAACTATCAGTGGTTATCTTTGGCTATTTGATGTGGTATAAGTAAAAGGGGTACAACCCACAATGAACTTTTCAAAAATACCTCAATAAAAATGCAGAGGCAGTCTCTTTCATAATCATAATAATAAAATAGGAACATATACTAATTTTTGAATGGATCTCCCCCCGCCCCTGCCTGCAAAGCTGCTGTAACTAGTGCTAAGCTTAGTACAGGCTAGCAGGCTATGTGGTGGTGGAGGGATCCTAAATAAACAAGTCTATTTTTCTAATCTGTTTTATGTGCCTATAATTATATTTTATCATCTAAGTTTTTAAATTACATGCTATCTCAGTATACTGTTTCACTACTGAGATCAGTTCAATCATGTACACAAACCTATGGTCTCACTGCATGTATGTTTGTTCAGTGTTGTCAGAATTAAATGAATGATTAAGAAAAATCTCTCTGATATATGGGTAAAACAAACCATGACTACCTTTGCAGCCATGACAAACATAAACTCAGACAGTTTCTATTATTAAAAACTCAAATAGCTCAACCTACATATAATGTTGTGGCGAGGGTCTGCACTTAAGTGCTCTCGTTTGATAGTGTAAATAGTAACCAAAGTGAGCTGGGCCAAACCAGGCCAGCATGGTAAGTACAGCAGGGCCAGCTCAGCTTGGCTCAGCACGGTTTGGCCCAGTTCCAGTTCCAGTTCCAGTTCCAGTTCCAGGTCCAGACCACAAAGTCCGGCGCTCGCCTTTCACAAAGATACAGTTTGCGCTACTAGATTTATATTGGTGAGAACGTGATAATTGTTATTCTAATTTCTAAGAACTTGGTGAACAAGTCATCATGTCTGGTTGGGAGCATGGAATATGTGGTTGCTTTGATGACTGCACAATATGTAAGTTAATTCTAAATCTAAAAGACTGAAATTTTTGTTCCAACACTGATAGGCTTTCTGTCATTTTTTTGTCCTTGCATTCAAATTTATCGCAATGCTAATGCAATCCCTGAGGGAGAGCATGGTTGCCTCTTTCTTTGTGGAATGTGCACATTTCTTCATGCTTGCTATGATCGTGCTTCACTGCGTAATGATATTCGTGTCCACAAAGATATTAAGGGAACTCATTGTGAAGACTGGCTTTGTGTTCACTTCTGTTTCCAACTTAGTTTAGCTCAAGAATCTCAGGTTAGTCATTATAGATGAATTGTTCACTATACAGCACACTATGTACATTGATAGGAAATGAAGAGTGAGTATATGCTTCGTGAATAGACTCTACTGTAAAATAATCATGGACTTTTTCTCTAAAATAATATAAAATCATTATCTTGTGATACAGCTTTTGGTTTATTTAAAAAAATTTTTGTACCTTATACAAATTTTTTCTTGATGAATGTGGGAGTGTTAGTCTAAACAACTAAGTTTAAGGCTCCTCCTGAATATTAAGGCAATATTATGCATGGCAACAACCAAAATGCGTGGGAGTTGTTCTTGTAGTATATTAGCATAGATATTAGAGCAAATGAAAGGGATAGGAAACCACCGTAAAATTTATAGGCATGTCATGCGTTGCCTAGCGACGTATGCAAGTTGTCGTTTTTCTTACCGGGAAACTAGGAAAATGGAGGACCATCACTGGACTTCTCGGCTTATAATTCGTGTCTGATACGGAGCACAGCTACAGTTCTAGGTCAGCTGCAAAGATCAAGATCATATCTATCCATTGATACCTGGCTCAGAAGGACTGCACTAATGGCCCGAATGAAATCCTATCTTGAACTCCCACTGTCAAGTTGTCCAAACTGCCGATTTTGTTTTGTACCTTTTTCTGAAAGTCAATTTTATGAACCATCTATTGGTGTTCAAAAGACATTAACCAATGTAATAACCGAGGTCTTGAGACATCTTCTAATAGGAAATATTGTATGGTTGTGGTTTCTAAACTAAAAGTAGACCCAAATTTTGCTTTTGTTTTGTACCCTTAACTCGCCAG